AGACGACTATATCAACACGTGCAGCTATCCAGGGAAAGGTCATCTGTGGTCAGCCATGCCAAGTGGGGAATGTGACCTCTGAACTCTTCACTGGTCAAGCTGCATTCAATACCTGGTCAATGATTCATACACAACTATGTTGCATTCGCTTTTGCGGCCCGGTGTGTGAACTTGATGATATATCGAGGTTTACTATACAATGCGTTGTTGGACGGGAAGGAGATCGCCTATCGTGTGAGGCTTTAGTATCAAAGTTATGTTTTCGGGCAGCGGCCAGAAAGTCACAGTGCAAGAACGACGCAATACGTACTATTTAAAGAGATTGTAAAGAGGTTTTCTAAATTTTTTATGTGTATCAGGGACACTGATAGCATCAATTTACACCATTGTAATTTTCAATCACACGTCTGTGGGTCCTGTAATTACAATAAAACTAAGTGTTTACGACGTCACCCCCGCAAAGGTCTTATGTTATACAAGCAAATATTTTAGTCGAATTACAGGAACCACAGACGTCTGATTGAAAATTAGAATGGTGTAAATTGATGCTATCAGTGTCCCTGATACACATAAAAAATTTAGAAAAACTCTTTATAATCCCTTTAACAAGAACCACAGACGTCTGATTGAAAATTAGAATGACGTAAATTGATGCTATCAGTGTCCCCGATAAGCATAAAAAATTTAGAAATCCTCTTTACAATCTCTTTAAGATTCTTGGAATTGACTTACATTAGCAAAGTGTTTCAGGCAGTTCCGAAAATTCAGAGCTCTTAGTTATTCCTGTTAGTAAATATATATTATGTGATGTTGTCCTTGTACCATCAACTATTATCCAACTGAAAATAAAATCAGGATAAGGGACATAACTCTGGAACTCATGAAAAAGTCAGACCACAAATAATAAGTATTTTGGAAGGGGTGTCTATTAAAAATGAAATAGTAAATTATTGTGTCTAGAAGAGTAAGGATACTCTGTCATAACCGCTCATATGAGGAAGTATATCAATCATAAGTGAGTAAGTATTTCATAATGAAAAGTGGTATCAGGTGTTTAGAAGAGTAAGGATACCCTGTCTGTCATAACCGCTCATATGAGGAAGTATATCAATTATAAGTGAGTAAGTATTTCATAATGAAAAGTGGTATCAGGTGTTTAGAAGAGTAAGCATACCCTGTCTGTCACCCGCTCATATGAGGAAGTATATCAATCATAAGTGAGTAAGTATTTCATAATGAAAAGTGGTATCAGGTGTCTAGAAGAGTTAGCATACCCTGTCTGTCACCCGCTCATATGAGGAAGTATATCAATCATAAGTGAGCCACACCCGTCATAGCTGCTCAAAATATTTCGTCAAATTTGAAACCTAATGAAAGGCCAATGTTCCTTCCTATGATATTTATATTTTAGATTAATAGATTAGGCTACCAATCAATGTTCCTTTAATGTTTTTACAAAATAATCTCATTTGTAAGCGTGCACAATTAAAGGGATTGTAAAGAGGTTTTATAAAATTTTTATGTGTATCAGGGACACTGAGAGCATCAATTTGCATCATTCCAATTTTCAATCTGATGTCTGTGGTTCCTGCAATTCCACAGAAACTAAGTGTTTGATGACGTCACCAATCGCGAAGGCTCTTTTTGGTACAGCATATTTTGTGATAAGTGACGTCAACAATCGCTTAGTTTTAGTGGAATTGCAGGAACCACAGACGTCTGAGAGAAAATCAGGATGGTGTAAATTGATGCTATCAGGGCCCCGATACCCATATTTTTTTTTAGAAAACCTCTTTAAAATCCCTTTAAATGATAAGAATTGGCCATGGAATTGACGACACAATATGAAAAATAATCCTGGTACATTATATAGACATAGAATTGAATGAATATCGCTTTGAATAGATGTATTACTCTCAGTCAATTTCAACTGTTTATTAAAACTGGGAACGTGATAAAACACTAATTGATAAAGGAATCGTTCAGAGTAATTACTAAGTTTGGGCGGCCCGGTGGAATGAAACGAAACCGCGCGTATCACAGCAGCTGCTTTCCGATTAAAACGAAATGAAATATGGTTCTGAAGGGCCCTTTCGGGGATTGATTTTGATCTTGAATATACATAAATAGTCTTTAGAAATACTAGAATGGCACGAAAATCGCATAATTCCTTCAAAAATATCTCAATGTCTTTTCTATATAAGGCGGAGTATCAAGAAAAGACGAGTCGTTATTTCAACTTTCCGATAATTTTGAAGGCTCAAATTTCGACGATGACCTGTGGAGTCTAGGTTCTTACCGAATAGCTTGCCAAAAGAAATTCGCGTTTCTGAGACTAAGGTACGATTGGTCAAACGGATGTAGGCCAGGACATTACGCAGTTGGTCGCTTGTATGTACATTGTAAACTGAACGTTACATTATGCAGCTGATCGCATGTGTGCATGTACTCCGTGCTCTATCGTTCAACATTACACAATTGCTCCCTGTAATATTCCTTTAATATTGATATTGTGTAATAAAATCCCGTTTAGATATATAACATCATTATTTGTTCACGATTCATATTAAACTTTGTGTAATTTACATTCTATCCGCTAATTGATAACTAGTCCGAAACTTATGACGTTTGTAATATCTAGATTGTCATCTATGGAACATAATGCCTATAGAGGCATAATACAACACCCTTTTCTATTAAATATGCCTTGTTTTTAATGCAAAATAGCATAACTATCAGATCCAGATATAGATTCAGTAAGTTTCAGACTGACCTCTGTCAATAAGTCAGCAAGTTTCGGACTAATTGATGGTGATATTCAAAAGCTAATAAAGTATAAATTTATCACTGACGTGGAAAGTTTCGCAGATAGAAAACGTTGTGGAACAAGCCGGATATCTGCTTTCAGTAGCTCAATGTTGGAAGAAAGTGCTCACACGCAACGCATGATGTAGCGTTCTTATAAGTTTTGAAGAAGTTATCAGATCTTTCGGAAGAAAATCGAAAGATATTCGTCTATTACACATAAGTAGATATCAACAAGGAATATGGCCATTGTTTTACAGTATTTTGGTTTGTTGATCCTACTGACTGACCTGACACGGGGACAGTTTGAAATGGATGGCTATGCGTTCCTGAAGACCGAAGTAGCCACAACTTCTCCGGCCATAATTTTGGCTAGCTCAGAGGTACCCACTAGAAGTAAGATAGATTGCACTAAAACCTGTGTGGAAGACATGACTTGCTCCGCTGTCGGATATAGCAAGTCCCAAAAAGTTTGTCACGTTTTTAGCGACGCTTTACACAAGAACGTGACGGTGGATATAACGTCTCAGATCGCTGACGTAACGTTCTACAATCTGGTAAGTCTTTGTTACGTTCTGTCCGTCTGAATTAGTCCAATAAGCTGCAGAAAAGTAGAACGTTAAACCCCATTTCATTTTATTTTGAAACGTTTTGTAGTTTACAAGTTGTTCGTGTAGGGTCATGGTTAAAATCAGAATTCGATGGGACCAAATCTATTTCTTAAAACTATTTTCAGTGGTCAAGACATCTCAAGAAAGTGTGCATGGCGCAGTCTATCAGGAAGCAATCCGTTACTGCCGGCGATTTCTCTGGCAGAGACTACTCTCTGGCAGAGACGGGGACGTAAAACTCCATTTCACTTCACTAATCTTTAGTTCAATTCCGTGTTCACTTGAAGTAAATATGTTTTTATTCATTCTGTTCAGAGTCTCTGTGAAAACGGAGGAATGCGCCTTGGACCGATATGTGAATGCTTTGGTGGATATGTGGGACCACGATGTGAGCGCTTAATGTCAGGTTGGTAGCTTGGTTTAACCTTGGTCATTATGTTTTAGTATGGGCTTTAATAGTGCTTGCTTACTCGTTTCTGACATCTAATATTTTGTCAGCCCTTATTTGGCATGTTAATATTCGCTCTTTCGGACCACACGATGTCAATCTAAAATTTTCAACTCAGCTGTCTGTGACTATACTGTCATTGCAAGTCGAAGAGACTGACATGGCCAATACGTCAAGACCTTCGGACGGGACGATAAATTGAGCCACCAATACAGTTTTGTATTTTGGCTTGAAATAGTCTTGGCTAAAGCCGTTTTCCTCATTGCACATTGCAGTGTGTTGTCCATCTTGTTGAACCAGATTCAGATCAGAAACGTAGGACAGAATACTCTTTTTAATTTCAAAGTTTTTTTTTTTAAATTGTAACAGATTGTAGTGATGGATTCAATGAAGGTGTTACTAAAACAGGACTATATCTAATCAAACCCAAAGCCGCATCCCACCCATTTGAGGTAATGCCATCTATATACCAGTAACACGGACTGCAAAGAGAGCACCAGTTTTATACGAAATAAAAAGAGTCACTGCATCCTTTGTACGAAGTATGAGATTGTATGCGGTTTGATAGTACATGAAAAGCCTCTAAACCTCTAAACTGTCATCCAGAATCCACTCTTGACCAGCATATTTTAAAAATCGTGGCCGAAGCAATCTGGAGAAAAAAATAACCCGTACCTCTCTCAACCGCAATCGGGACACCTCTTGACCGCAAATGGGACACCTCTTGACCGCAATCGGCATCTCCCTCGACCGCAATCGGCACTCTTTTCAACCGCAATCGGCACACCTCTTGACCGCAATCGGAATCTTTCTCGACTGCAATCGGCACACCTCTCAACCGCAATCAGCTCCTCTCAACCACAATCGGCACTCCTCTCCATCGCAATCGGCACCACTCTCAACCGCAATCAGCACCTCTCCCAACCGCAATCAGCACCTCTCCCAACCGCAATCGGCACCTCTCTCAACCGCAATCGGCACCTCTCTCAACCGCAATCGGCACGGCAATCAGGTTGTAAAGAGGTACCTACTGGACTGGGTAATAATGATAAATACACTCTATCCGTGTAAGAATTAATGACAGTTTATTGTTCTCAATTCTCCAATTTCAGGTCAAATGTGTGATGAACATGACTGGTCAAACCGTTATCCAGTGGCATCACAATTCCTCCTTTAGATTCAATAAAACATGGGCAGAATTCCGGACTGGGTTTGGCAATCGAGACGGAGATCATTGGATTGGTAACGAGAAACTCTTCTGGTTAACGCAAAGTCGTAACTTTTCTCTGATGATAACTATCAAACCCCGAGGTGGTGGCATCCGTAATTTCAACGTTTCGAAGTTCATTGTTCTCTCCGAAAATTCGTCTTTTGCCATCAGAGTCTATGATGCCCCCGGCTCACAGAGCTGTCTGTCGCAGTATAACGGAACACAGTTCACAACATTCGATAGAGTTAATTCAGCCAACTGCGCTGCTATCAATGGAAGTGGCTGGTGGTACAACTCCACTTGCTCCGACTGCAATCTAAACGGACGATTGTATAGGGAGAACGCTACCATAATCGGCCCGGCCATTTGGAATCCAGAGAATGATAAAATCCTTCAAACTGAGATGACATTGGTTGAAACAACGTATGTCTCATCTGGTGCGGGGTTCACTACACCTACTCATATGGCAACAGGAAGCCCCTTTCCTGGTTAAGGTCTAAGGAAGATGAAGGGCTACAACAAGAGATAACCTTCACAAGCTACAGTCTAGTCGCCAGGAATGAATTGGTGCTGGGGCTCAGATTTTGAACTTAGAAATTATGCAGAATTAATAAATGGCCAGAGAACTCTTTTCTGACGAACCCCGTCTTGTTTAAACCGTATGGTATGTTTTAGCTAGCTTGAAATAAAAGCCCATCAAATGCTTAGAAATTTAAAAAGCACATTTACTTCACAAAGCTCCCTGGTTCCCAACCTTGGGGTGTGGGGCTAGGGTGTCAGGGGTGTGGCCAACTGGTGTAGGAGAAGAATTTATTTTGAATTGAGAGAGCACTTCATATCATCACATGCTGAAAATGTCGATGAAACAAATTTTTGGGGTGTGAAAGGTCCACGTGATTACTCCAGGGGCTTCAAGGTACCACTAACCTCGCTAGTCAAGCAACAGCCATATTGTTTATAGTCCTTCTATCGTGGTGGGCTCTGATTGGTTGTATTCGTTAACGTACAATCCAATCAAATCACTGCATTTACAAAATTTCATGATACACGAAAAGTACCTAATGATGTAAAGTTTTGACCGAGCTCGTAATATCTTGATATTGTGAAGATGCCAGAGCCATGCTAGAACCTTGGTGTCACACTGGCCTAAAGAAGAAATTGACATAACAATTATTTACAAAAATGTTTTATTCGTCTACAGCAAGGCCAAATTGATTTCAACAAATTCAAAGAAGGCAAAGAAAAGAAAAAAGAAGTAAAAAAAACTGAATTGAGTCTTGCTTAACGGACCTACTTAGTATCTACCATCCTCTTACTGAGATGGTATTTCAATGGCCACTTATTTTAAATGAAATAAATAGTAATGACGTAGTCGTCGGGGTTACCCATACATTCATCGTGTGGTCCAATTTAAACTAAAGGGAGACAACTCGTAAGCAAAAGAACTGGATAAAAGTGGACGAAAAATCAAAAGTTTATAAATAGCGTTTCTTCTGTGAACAGGGGGTGAGGCATGGCCCTTTAGAAAACAGGTTGACCCGGCTTTGAGCCCCCAATTTTCAATTGTGTGTTTTATCATTTTACATAGTAGTGGGTCCCGTGGAAAATCTTGTGGCCCCCGATCGGTCCCTCACCAATTTTTCGTACTAACGTCACTGCAACTAGTCCTTATCCGAGGTTCGAGTTACGAAGAGTGAAGCCGTCTAATATAGAAATATTTCTATCGTCCATCCATTTTTCACCCTTGTTTAACTTTTCATACAAGATGGTGGCAATTGAATAACACAGTCTGTGGCGAATTGTATCGTTGTGTGCTAGTCGATAAGGAATTAGAAAATATTTTGATGCCACAACCGGTACTTCCGAAAGTCGGTTTGATCTCGACTGACATCTCTTATCACAATATTTGAGAAGAATAATTAAAAAAAAATTAAAAATAACAAAAGTTAACTAAAAACTAAAAGAAAAAAATTAACAAAAAAAAAACGAAACATTATTGAGAGATTTCGTACAGTATATGTAAAATAATTAAAAAGACTAAGGTATTGATAATACTGCATGTTATAAAAGATCCGGAGCAGGTGGTATCTTGTCCGGATTGTGCCAAGTTATTTTCATATAAGTAAGAGTTCTTTTGTATCAGATTTAGGGAGAAGATGATTTCAGTCTGGTTATCGTCTCCAAACTGAAGCTCTGCAGATTCGACATTCCATCGATGATTATTAAAGGAATCCGTTAAAGAGAAGGTCGTGCTGTTTTTGAAATACTCTTGGTTCCCCGGTGACACGAATTTCAAGTCAATTGAGCACGTTTGGTTCCTAGAAGATGGGTTGGTCCTGCACAAGGTGGTCACAATTTCTCGGCGTTTCCATCGGATGTGACCTTCAGAGGAGATGACAACTTTTGGTGATAACATTGCTCTAGGTGGTAAGGCCCTGGAATAGAGACAGAGGAATCAGTGAATGTCTTAATACTTGAATGTTTGGATGGCATGATTTCATGATTGCTTGGTTGTCATGATTTCATGATTGTCTGGTTGTAATGTTTTCATGATTTTCGTGGGAGCCGTGGTGGCAATGTGAGTTAGATGCTTGTTTACGAACCTGAAGGTCCAAGGTTCAATCCCGGCATAGAGATAATATCTTCGAATTTTTCAACCTGGTTTCCCCCTGTCAGTGATGCAGGTAAGAGGGGCTGACATGGAAAAAGCGTCTAGTCGTTCGGATGGGACAATAAACCGAGGCCCCGTGTGCTACAGGCTGTGCACGTTAAAGATCCCTCGACAGTTGGAAATCGAAAAAGAGCAGGCTAATGACTCTGCCCTGGCAAAATTTTCATCGTTGCACCCTGCATGGCATTGCCCGTTTGTCATTAGCCTACATGGTGCAGAAAAGTAGAAACTAAAATTCCAGATTTTTGCACTTTTATGATTGTCTGGTTGTTATGTTTCATCATTGTCTGGTTGTCATGTTTCATCATTGTCTGGTTGTCATGTTTCATCATTGTCTGGTAATCATGCTTCATCATTGTCTTGTAGTCATGTTTCATCATTGTCTGGTAATCATGTTTCATCATTGTCTTGTAGTCATGTTTCATCATTGTCTTGTAGTCATGTTTCATCATTGTCTTGTAGTCATGTTAAATCATTGTCTTGTAGTCATGTTTCATCATTGTCTGGTAGTCATGTTTCATCATTGTCTAGTTGTCATGTTTCATCAATGTCTGGTAGTCATGTTTCATCAATGTCTGGTAGTCATGTTTCATCAATGTCTGATAGTCATGTTTCATCATTGTCTGGTTTTCATGTTTCATGATCGTCTGGTTGTCATGTTTCATCATTGTCTGGTTATCATGTTACGTCATTGTCTTGTAGTCATGTTTCATCATTGTCTGGTAATCATGTTTCATCATTGTCTGGTAGTCATGTTTCATCATTGTCTGGTAGTCATGTTTCATCATTGTCTTGTAGTCATGTTTCATCAATGTCTGGTAATCATGTTTCATCCATGTCTGGTAATCATTATTATCATAGCTATTTAGTCATATTTTTATGGGTTTCTTGATAAACTTGTTGAAATAAAGCTGTATGGACTGAAAAGTAGTATGAAATGGGAGATAACTCAATTGGTTATATTCGTCTTGCTTGCCAGACCACTAGTAAAGCGTAATGATGTACCAATCGTATCGTAACAGTTTAAAGCTCTTTTGAAGATTATATCCAAATTTCAACCCTTGAATATACACTACTTTTATTTTATAGGACTGGTATGACACTTAAGTCTCAGAGACTGGATTTTCTTTTAGCTGAGCTGAGTAATTGTGTTCACAGCTCACTGTCGAAACGTGAGACTTCAAATCAATGTGTGTCCAGAATTATCCGTGTTTGAATGTTAAAATGATGACTCGCCAATTTAAGATACTCTGTGATATATAGAAAAGACATCTATAGAAATAGTGAGTAAAATTCCTAGTTTGAGATATTTTATAAGGAATTATGTGATTTTTGTACATTTCTAGTATTTCTGAAGACTATTTACATATATTCAAGATTAAAATAATCAACCACCTTTCCCTTTTATGGTCTTCATAAGCTCAATTAGGTGCAGTATGATGTGGTACTCATTTCATTTCATCCATAATGATGGACCTTTTCAGTCAAAATTACAGGAATGGTTATACTTACGCATTGGAATAAACCATCTCTGGTGCCCAGACCGTGGAGATGTTGGTAGATATCTGACTGACTTTATATGGATACCAGGCCAATCTTTTATCTCTCCAACCCTGAAAAAGAAATTACATTTCAATACTGCTAACTCTTCAGCATCTTCACAATACCAAAATATTACGAACTGTGTCCTATACCTTGACTGTAATAGCTACTTGTATCACGGAAGTTTGTAAATGCAGTCAATTATATCCTTCGATTACATGTGCTTCCAAATCGTTTACAGTTTAACAACTAAATAGTTCTGTCACTTAGTGGTATCAGGTACTGCGGAAGGAAATTTGAGCATTTAAAAAAACAACTGCTGAGAGTTAATGGATAGATGTATAATCAAAGGTATATCTTGCCAATCTGTATAGAGATCACACATTCTCTTCTCACACCCCACCCACCCTATTCTCACACCCCACCCACGCTATTCTCACACCCCACCCACCCTATTTTCACACCCCACCCACCTATTCTCACACCCCACCCACCCTATTCTCACACCTCATACAGCCAGTGGCGGAGCCCCCCTTGCAGCCCTGAAAGCAAGTTTTTTGGGCAAAAATCTCAAAACTAGGTTAGAAATTCGAGCAATCTCAGATATTTCGCCCGGCCCCCCTCGGACGTAAACCTGGCTCTGCCACTGCATACACCTACTCATACTTCCCACTTTCACCTCTCAGACTTACTCACACTTATCCCCATTCCCACTGACTCACGCCCCATCCTCCTAACTCACGCCCCATCCTCACAACTCACACCCCATCCTCCTAACTCACGCCCCATCCTCCTAGCTCACGCCCCATCCTCCTAATTCACGCCCCATCCTCCTAACTCACGCCCCATCCTCGCACTCACACGCCCCATCCTCCTAACTCATACGCCCCATCCTCCTACCTCACGCCCCATCCTCCTAACTCACGCCCCATCCTCCTAACTCACGCCACATCCTCGCACTCACACACCCTCGGTTCCAATCAGAATACTTACGATTTCAAGCTCTATCAAGCTGACCATTTCTTGATTCATCAAGTTCACGTCTCGGATGTGCCATAATTTCCCGGACAATCCCACGGGTACTTTATCTGGCCAGGAATCGG